ACAACATTGTTTGAATACACATAGATTTGGCTCATGAAGTAAAGATCCGTTGGGTAATTCCTTCTCCTGACGGGTTTCCAAATCGTAAAATATTAATAAGACATCATTTGATTTTGGAATTCTTCTGTCAGGCTGTATATAGCACATATGTTCAATTGGTTGATTTTTATAACATGTTTTACAAAGTATATGTCCGCAGATGTGATCATTACCGTTGTGAACTTTAAAACAGTCTACACATCTTTTAATTTTAGAACAGACCGATGGTAAATGAGCGTTAAAACATTCTTGTCCATAAAAGCTTCTATTACATTCTTTGCATTCGATGTGCTTCGTTTTCAGGCAGGCCGGAGATCTTTTACAAGCATAACATTGTTTATCACATCTATGAATTTGTTTATTATTATACGGAATGTGGCAGTTCTCACAAAAATAGCTGCAGCAAAAAGCAGCAGTGAGGGATGTTATGACGCTGTAGTGCCCCTCGTGATAGATTAGGTTAAGCGTCGGACCAGTGGACACGCCTTCAAAAATGACGTCACGACCTTTGCACCCAAACTTGTATACAACAATTTTGTAGTTTTGCAGATATCGTTGTAGCTTTTGAAGTTCAGGTATTCCACACCCCTCCTCAGGGATAACAATATCAGCCTTTTCCACAAGTTGTACAGCTCTTTGTCCTTGTATTTTTCCTCGATCGAGGCGGATTCTGCTATAATCTTTGTCTTTGTTCAAATGGGCCATGGCGATGACAAGGGCTCGTGGGAGACACAAATTATCGGTGTTTTTAACGGTGATAATACCTCTTCTTTTGGCGCATTCCTCATCAAAAGTATTGAAATTCTGACCTCTACCACGACCAGCAGGCAACCTTATGGACGTAACTCCCAAGCAAAAAGTTTCGGTATTCAACCCCACAGAATTTGACTGATAGATGGAAGATATCTTCTCCCATATGTCCTCATTTGAAACGTCGGAAAACGATTTAAAAGCTATCCACCCTTGACCGCGGGTAAAGTCTTTGGAACAGAAAGTGAATCCAACTTGATCACTGGGCTGGAGATGTTCAGTTCCTTTGGCTACTATTTCCTCCAGAGCGTCTTTGATCCATCCCACAGGCTCGACGTCTTTAGGGATAGGTCGTATTTTAAATTCCACTTCTCGCCCATATAGATTAAATTTTTTAATCTTCTTAATAGAATCCTTAACGACGAAGAATTTTTCCATTTTTTTAAAAACTAAAACGTTAACTAGCGACTAAATCTGAACTGAGCACGTCTGTTCGCTGTAGATAACTGACAAGATAATTTGCGGTGATTCATAGGTATTTATAATCTCAATTTTACCCCCACCACTTTTTAACTGACCACAGTGTTTCAAGGTCACCGCTGGCCGGTATTAACTCGTTGACAGCCTGCGCTCCCTGCCCATTCACCCATGCTTGACAGCCCCGCCCGGTACTTCTTGCATATCACCGCTACGACTACACCGGCGCTGAACCTAACCTCATTTGCGACGTAGGTGATTGCCTTGTTGGAATCTATTAGATACACAATATAGACTGTACTATGTTTTCAATATTGTATCAATGTTAAAAATTAACTAACTGTATGCACCACATATGAGCAATTCCATTTTTATATGCACACTGAATATGACGTGTTGACTATTGAGATCATCCTATACGCATTGTTCTCCGCGAATTTTATACGTTTTTCCATTTGAACTGAATCCGCAGAATTGCATCTATAATTACCGTTATTCATCGGCTTTTATCGATCTATATGCAAATATTTACCGCAAAACATGAAATGAGTCACATCACTTACGCATAGACGTTATACTACACCTTACTATCGTCGGCTGTCTGAATCACTTCCGGTCGGGTGCGGCATCTAGCGGGGCCCGCCAATCAACATATACCATCAACCCGTTCAAATTTCCCGCCGTCTGATCCGCCAATCAGAGCACGCGGTGAATCTAGCGGTTCCCGCCAATCAACATATACCATCAACCCCGTTCAAATTTCCCGCCGTCTAATCCGCCAATCAGAGCATGCGGTGGGCGTGGCCTAAGTGGAAGTGGTGGGGGGTGTCCAAAGTAGCCCATAGTACAGTCTATATTGTGTATCTAATAGATTCCAACAAGGCAATCACCTACGTCGCAAATGAGGTTAGGTTCAGCGCCGGTGTAGTCGTAGCGGTGATATGCAAGAAGTACCGGGCGGGGCTGTCAAGCATGGGTGAATGGGCAGGGAGCGCAGGCTGTCAACGAGTTAATACCGGCCAGCGGTGACCTTGAAACACTGTGGTCAGTTAAAAAGTGGTGGGGGTAAAATTGAGATTATAAATACCTATGAATCACCGCAAATTATCTTGTCAGTTATCTACAGCGAACAGACGTGCTCAGTTCAGATTTAGTCGCTAGTTAACGTTTTAGTTTTTAAAAAAATGGAAAAATTCTTCGTCGTTAAGGATTCTATTAAGAAGATTAAAAAATTTAATCTATATGGGCGAGAAGTGGAATTTAAAATACGACCTATCCCTAAAGACGTCGAGCCTGTGGGATGGATCAAAGACGCTCTGGAGGAAATAGTAGCCAAAGGAACTGAACATCTCCAGCCCAGTGATCAAGTTGGATTCACTTTCTGTTCCAAAGACTTTACCCGCGGTCAAGGGTGGATAGCTTTTAAATCGTTTTCCGACGTTTCAAATGAGGACATATGGGAGAAGATATCTTCCATCTATCAGTCAAATTCTGTGGGGTTGAATACCGAAACTTTTTGCTTGGGAGTTACGTCCATAAGGTTGCCTGCTGGTCGTGGTAGAGGTCAGAATTTCAATACTTTTGATGAGGAATGCGCCAAAAGAAGAGGTATTATCACCGTTAAAAACACCGATAATTTGTGTCTCCCACGAGCCCTTGTCATCGCCATGGCCCATTTGAACAAAGACAAAGATTATAGCAGAATCCGCCTCGATCGAGGAAAAATACAAGGACAAAGAGCTGTACAACTTGTGGAAAAGGCTGATATTGTTATCCCTGAGGAGGGGTGTGGAATACCTGAACTTCAAAAGCTACAACGATATCTGCAAAACTACAAAATTGTTGTATACAAGTTTGGGTGCAAAGGTCGTGACGTCATTTTTGAAGGCGTGTCCACTGGTCCGACGCTTAACCTAATCTATCACGAGGGGCACTACAGCGTCATAACATCCCTCACTGCTGCTTTTTGCTGCAGCTATTTTTGTGAGAACTGCCACATTCCGTATAATAATAAACAAATTCATAGATGTGATAAACAATGTTATGCTTGTAAAAGATCTCCGGCCTGCCTGAAAACGAAGCACATCGAATGCAAAGAATGTAATAGAAGCTTTTATGGACAAGAATGTTTTAACGCTCATTTACCATCGGTCTGTTCTAAAATTAAAAGATGTGTAGACTGTTTTAAAGTTCACAACGGTAATGATCACATCTGCGGACATATACTTTGTAAAACATGTTATAAAAATCAACCAATTGAACATATGTGCTATATACAGCCTGACAGAAGAATTCCAAAATCAAATGATGTCTTATTAATATTTTACGATTTGGAAACCCGTCAGGAGAAGGAATTACCCAACGGATCTTTACTTCATGAGCCAAATCTATGTGTATTCAAACAATGTTGTGAATCATGTACCGATAATCCTATATGCAAGAAATGTGGCCTTCGATTACAGATTCTTCGATGTCAAGACGTCATTTCTCCATTTATGCATCATATTCTGACACTTCGTAAAAAATTCAAGAAAGTCATTGTACTGGCGCATAATGGTGGAGGATTTGATCATCAGTTTCTACTTCGTTACATTTTAGAGAAGACTAGTCTGTACCCAAATGTAATTATGAGAGGAACAAAATTAATATTGATGGAGGTAGGAAATGTAAAATTTCTGGATTCTCTCAATTATTTTCCTATGCCTCTAACTGCTCTACCCAAGGCGTTTGATTTGAAAGAGCTAAAGAAAGGATACTTTCCACATCTATTCAACACTTTGGCTCATCAGAATTATCTAGGGCCAATTCCAGCGCTCGACTTCTACGATCCCGACCATTTAAAAGAAGACACTCGGGAAAAATTATTAAAATGGCATGGCGAAAGAGAAGCGGAGGGATACGTTTTTGATTTTCAGAAAGAAATCGTTGAATACTGTATCTCCGATGTGGAAATATTGACACAGGCGTGTCTCAAATTTCGAGACCTGATGAAAACCGAAACCACAGTCGATCCCTTCCAGGAAAGCACCACTATTGCATCATGCTGTAACAAAGTCTTTAGACGCAATTTTTTAAAACCTGAGACGATCGGGGTAATTCCAAAAGGGGGCTATAGATGGCGTGAAAATCAGTCAAAAATTGCCATCCAATGGATGTTGTGGGAGGAACATCAAAGAGGAATCAAAATTCAACACGCCGCTAAGGGTATAGAAACCATTGTTAAGGGACATAAAGTAGACGGTTTTTGTAGCGACACAAATCAAGTGTTTGAATTCCAAGGATGCTATTTTCACGGTTGCCCTCGATGTTTCAAATACAACAGAAGCAATCCTCTGCATAATGATCCGTTGAATACATTGGAAAGTCGATACGAACAATCAGTTAGCAAAGTAGAGAGACTCCGAAGCCTTGGACTAGAAGTAATTGAGATATGGGAATGTCAATTTCGAGGAATGCTAAACGATGAAATTAGAGCCTTCACAGAAGCACATCCATTGATAATCAATTTACCGATTAACCCCAGAGACGCTCTCTACGGGGGACGTACAGAAAATATCGTTGAATACTACAAGATCAAAACAAATGAATGCATAAAATATGTCGATATATGTTCCCTGTACCCCTTCATCTGTAAATATGGAAAATTTCCGGTGGGTCATCCAAAAAAAATTTACGTAGGTGAAGAATGTGTTACAGCCTCTCTGTCGCAGATGTCAGGACTTATTAAATGCCAGATTCTACCGAACCAGAACTTATATCACCCCGTTTTACCGTCAAAAATGAACAACAAATTGATGTTTGTTAACTGTCAAAAATGTGGTGAAGATTTCGTTCGAGAAGAGTGTCAGCATTCTATTCAAGAAAGAAGCCTAAAAGGAACTTGGGTGATAGAAGAGGTGCTCAAAGCTATTGAAAAAGGTTACCAGATTATAGAGACTTACGAAATATGGGAATACGATACAATTCAGCTCAGTAAAGACCAAGAGGGGTTATTTAGCGGAATGATGAACAAGTTTCTACAAATAAAACAACAAGCTTCAGGATGGCCCAAACATTGCTTAACGGATGAAGAAAAAAACCGTTATATTGATGCATTTTTGGATACAGAGGACATAAAGCTGGAATTTTCAAAAATTATAGAGAACCCCTGTTTGAGATCGTTAGCTAAACTTATGCTGAATTCTTTTTGGGGTAAATTTGCTCAAAAAGAAAACCAAAACAAAACCTCAATAGTCAGAGACTGTGGTGAATTCTTTGATATGCTGACTAATCCTTCTATTCATGTAAATACAGTTCTCCCGGTAAACGAAGAAACCCTTCTCGTAACTTGGGAATTTAGAGAAGAGGCGTATGACGTTTCTTCAACGGTTAACGTTGTATTGGCTTCATACGTCACGGCCCTAGCTAGACTAAAATTATATTCATTCTTGGAGAAAGTGGAAGAAAGGGCAGTTTACGTAGATACAGATTCATGTATTTATATCTCTCGTAAGGGATTAGACGACATATCTACAGGCGACTTCATAGGTGATATGACCGATGAGCTCAATGGGGGTTTCATATCAGAGTTTGTTTCTGGAGGACCTAAGAACTACGCCTACAAATATACTACTTTGTCTGGAGAGGAACAGATCGTATGTAAAGTAAAAGGCATATCACTCAACTACAAGGCATCCCAAGTGGTCAATTTTGAGAAAATAAAAGACATGGTGCTGAAGAAATCTGATCCTGTTTCTGTACTTTCTCGACAGCTACGACGTACAAGAGAGCATGCAGTAGTAACAGTCGAGTTTCCTAAGCTATACAAGATAACTTCAATGAAAAGGAAATTCTATGAAGATCATACCTCTGTACCATTTGGATTTAAGAAAATAAAATATTGATTTATTAATGTATGTAAATATTTTTTAATAAACATGTAAAATAAAATGTATGCAAATGATTTTTTGTTTTTTATTTCCCGCCTAATTGAAAAATATTTTTGCACCCGAAATTGTTCAGCCTTTTTACTCCATATAAAATATTTAAAAGTATGCATTGTTATTATTAAACGCCTGCAGTAATATACACCAAAAAAATTGAGAAGCAGTGTAACCATGTAGAACTTTGTATAATCACAAAAAAACATATCTTGGAAAATAAAAAATACAGCAGATTCATAAGCAGTGTAGAGAGGAAACTACGTAAAAGTAATCGATTATTACTAATAAAATAGAGTTTTGAATTCCTATTTTTACAATAATAATCATTTTACTATCTTACGTGTTGGGCACTGCACTGCACGGGTACCAACACTGTACTGCACGGGCACGAAAAATTGAGAAGCATGATAACCATGTAGAACTTCGTATCACTACGTAAATGGTTATTACGAAAAGTAGAAATAAAAACTCTATTTTCGATAATAGCTATACTATTTTTTATGAGCACCGAAAAAATTGAGAAGCACGATAACCTCATAGAACTTCGAAACAGCACCAGAGACAACCGAAGGCTACAGAAAAAAAACACATACTGAAAAGGCATAACATCTATCAGCGCTGGTATCCGATAATACTGTTTCCTTTGACATTCGTTGGGATATGAAAACACATATTTGCTTCCCACCGTTATAACGGAAATAATAGTTACTGCAAAAGCAGTTTCACAATAAGACCATACATTAATCTACAAAGTTGATAATAAAACATATGTACTATTAAAATGCAGATATTTTTAAAATTATACAATTAAAAAATCAAAATAATATATTATAAATGGTAGGGGATACAGGGTAAACACCGAAATATACTTAATTTAGAATAGTTACCTATAATCTCCTCAGTTCTTTGGTCAGCCGTATCGACAATTTACCGGTGGGTCCTCTATTTTTGTGCATGTAAAAGGTTAGACTATGGCGCTAGCAAAAAAAAACAAAATGCAACAAAGTAGAGTCACTTAATATTCTTGTTGAAGTTACGGATAGAATATGGTAGAAAGTAACAATCAGATATTGTAGAAGCCATGTAATTGTTTAATTGTTGAGGAAAAAGTATTTTTCATACGCTGACCATGTTTATGTCCGCTTGGTACGCGACCAGATTTTTTCCAAACCTTTGCCCGTAGGGTTCATGAGCCGACGACCAAATGTGTCGTCGAAGGGGCATTTTTGGCCAAATTCGGTCGAAACCGATGCTGCGTTCGTACCCTAGAGCCTACGAACAGCGACTCAAACTTAATTTTAATTGATTTGCAAAGATCTTGCTAGAATACTTGAGCTAGTGATTATATGCAATTTATCGGTGACGAGCTTTCCTCTAGCATATCTTGATTTATTCAAGCGAATCAATGAGAAACTAGTGAATAAAATTACCTGACAGCCATAGTACAAGTTGGTATATCTACACCTTCTCTTACATTTGGCGCCACTAAAATGTTAATCTCCTTGTTTCTAAAAAACGATCAAGTACTTATCTGTTCTTCTTATTAATCGGAAGTGATTCTACGGTGCTATTAAAAGAGTTTCCGTTATATCCCACAACGAAATCCGGCTTTATATGTCTGAACTCTGGTACATGTTCACTCAAATCTTTCAGTACATGGTGCAATATTTTTGGCAGTTGATCTTTCCTTCGTGAATATTAAACCACAAATGTCTTCGTTTGAAGATGAACTGTTGAAAAGTGTTACGTTTATATTAGTATTAATATTTATGACATTTACTTTTTTTAAAATAGTTAAATACTACGATAAACTGGGAATGTGGGATGAAGCAGAAATGTTTCTGTAACCCAATTTAGGTATGTATAGCAAGTCTTACGCAAGACAATAATAAAAACAGATAGAATTTGAGGGCGATTCTTGGAAGAAAAATTCATAGTATTTCTAAGGCAACACCGACCGGAGTGCTATAATTTTAGCATACATTTACAGGTTATAGGTCTAATGATAAATAGAAAGTGATTAAAATTTTAACTTCAATTTTCGTAAAATAGCTGAGATATGCCATCTTGCAGTAGCCTGGAATGAAATACCCGACAGGTTACCCATCACCTGATAGTCTGTGGTTCTCGCCGCTAGATGACGCTACATACAAACGTCATCTGTCAAACGTTATGTGTATCATTGATAAGTGTGAGTTGTGTCTCTAAGCGCTAGATGGTGTCGATGTCGCACTGGTGTCGTAGAGTGACCCACATACAGGGGTCGATAGAAATTTTTGGGGCCCTACCGACGGGTCGATGAACCGACGGTATAACGTCAGATCGAAATAAGCTCCATTCACATGGGAGGTGTGTGTGGAACTGCTCGTGGGAGACACGGACCTTGTCGTATCTAGCAAGACGTGTCCTAAAATGGTGATACCCATTGGTCGCTCAGCCATACAGGTCGGTCAGACAGAAGTTTTTGGGACCCGGGTGCTCTGATTGGTGGATCAGACGGCGGGAAATTTGAACGGTGTTGATGGTATAGTTGAATGGTGGACGGCGGGGTTGGGTGCGTTGGTAATCACCTATGTCGCAAATGAGGTTAGGTAGATAGTCGTTCAGTGAAGGTGTTGTCGTAGTGGTGATATGCAAGAAGTACTGCGCGCGGGGGTGTCAACGAGTTAATATTGGCCAACGATAACAGCGGTGACCGTGGAACACTGTTGTCACACGGTTGCAAAAGATGATAGGTTATCTCTTAATTTTCGTAAACAACGATTTTTCTAAAGTGGTAAAAACAGGTCGAAATTTTAAATACCTATGAATCACCGCAAATTATCTTGTCAGTTATCTGCTGCGAACAAAACATGCTCAGCTCAGACTTATCTAAAAAGTGGTGGGAAAATCGATATTATAAAAATATTTATGAATCACCGCAAATTCTCTTAGACGTGCTCTTATCAGTTCAGACTTAGTTAAAACTGGTGGGTAAAATCGAGATTATAAATACCTATGAATCACCGCAAATTACCTTGTCAGTTATCTGCAGTGAACAGACGTGCTCAGTTCAGACTTAGCAATTCCCAACGCTCCTCCGTGGCCATTCCCCTTACCCTCTCGCGAGTGCGCGCATGCGCATGCGGCTCGTTCTGGTCTATAGACATATGATCGCTAATGATCTTGAACAAAGATGTCCTGATACCCGAACCGCCAGAGGTACATCAGAAGTAATGTTAGTATTGTGTGTGCGCGTTTTTTGAACACGCTAAGTCGTGATGTACATCACGTGACGTACGTCACGTGACGTACGTGACGTGCGTGTGACAGGTGACGTGCGTCACGTGACACGTAACGCACGTGGCACGTGACGTGCGTCACGTGACACTTGACGCACGTGGCGTACGTCACGTGACACGTGACGTGCACACTTTGTTCAAAAATACCAAAAAGCTGTCTTGATAGCCCGAACCGCCAGAGGTACAACATCAGAAGTAATGTTAGTGCGTGGTTGAGGTTCAAAAACTTAGCGTGTTCAAAAAAAAAACGTACCTAGACCAAAAGTCATTCTAGACCAGTCACTCTAGACCAAAGCACAAAAAAAACGCCGTTTTTCAACGCCTTTTTTGTCACCATTCCCCTTAGTAGCGCGCATGCGCATGGGGCTCGTTCTGCTGGTGCTGGCGCGGGCGTACATAGCGTTTGTGGTAAGGGTTTGGGGTAGGTCTTGTTCTCTTACCACTATCCCATGGTACACAACAAACAAACTTACTCGTGCGCGATAAGAGAACAAGACCTACCCCAAACCCTTACCACAAACGCTATGTACGCCCGCGCCAGCACCAGCAGAACGAGCCCCATGCGCATGCGCGCTACTAAGGGGAATGGTGACAAAAAAGGCGTTGAAAAACGGCGTTTTTTTTGTGCTTTGGTCTAGAGTGACTGGTCTAGAATGACTTTTGGTCTAGGTACGTTTTTTTTTTGAACACGCTAAGTTTTTGAACCTCAACCACGCACTAACATTACTTCTGATGTTGTACCTCTGGCGGTTCGGGCTATCAAGACAGCTTTTTGGTATTTTTGAACAAAGTGTGCACGTCACGTGTCACGTGACGTACGCCACGTGCGTCAAGTGTCACGTGACGCACGTCACGTGCCACGTGCGTTACGTGTCACGTGACGCACGTCACCTGTCACACGCACGTCACGTACGTCACGTGACGTACGTCACGTGATGTACATCACGACTTAGCGTGTTCAAAAAACGCGCACACACAATACTAACATTACTTCTGATGTACCTCTGGCGGTTCGGGTATCAGGACATCTTTGTTCAAGATCATTAGCGATCATATGTCTATAGACCAGAACGAGCCGCATGCGCATGCGCGCACTCGCGAGAGGGTAAGGGGAATGGCCACGGAGGAGCGTTGGGAATTGCTAAGTCTGAACTGAGCACGTCTGTTCACTGCAGATAACTGACAAGGTAATTTGCGGTGATTCATAGGTATTTATAATCTCGATTTTACCCACCAGTTTTAACTAAGTCTGAACTGATAAGAGCACGTCTAAGAGAATTTGCGGTGATTCATAAATATTTTTATAATATCGATTTTCCCACCACTTTTTAGATAAGTCGTAACACTTTTCAACAGTTCATCTTCAAACGAAGACATTTGTGGTTTAATATTCACGAAGGAAAGATCAACTGCCAAAAATATTGCACCATGTACTGAAAG